GATGAGAAAAGCATCCGGGTGGGCTGTCTGCTGCTCACTGATGTTCTGATATAGTTCGTTCAGCGCTTCGCTCCTGATGTTAGCGGAGCTCGGAGGCAGATAAACAGCAGCTATCAGCACAGCTGAGAACTCCCTCGGTAGATAAAACGGTCTGCACTTTATAATCATCAGTTCCACCACCGGTGAGCAGTACTTGCAGACCACAACAGCGTTGCGACACCAAGCATCACTAATGTAAACACAAAGTCCGCCGCCGCGTGTTTTACCTTCAGTGAGGACTCGGTCCGCTCGGTAGCATGTCCGCCGCTCGAGCTGAACTGCGTGGTCCGGGATGTTGTCTTTAAGCCAAGTTTCCGTGAAAACATAAACACAACAGTCCCTCACGGTCTTCTGAGTTGACTGAAGTAAGCGGATGTCATCCAGTTTGTTGTCCAGAGAGCGTACGTTGGCCAGTATCATGGAGGGGATGGCTGGCTTGTGTGGGCTAGCAGCTAGCCTCGCTCTTATACCTCCGCGCTTACCCCTCTTCTGCAGCCTCTCGTTCCGCTTGTGGCGCTTCCATTGTGGGCGCAGCGCAGCGGAGGGGGTCGGTGGTGGAGCCGGAGTTCTGAGTAAGCCGCTAGCACGCAGCCCCTCTCGAAGTTCAGAGCTAAGCTTGAAAAGTGAGCTTTTGCCGACATCAAGCAGCGATTCACGGCTGTATGTGCGCTTCAAGACGTGAGCGCACGACGGAGACGTGCAAAAATACTGCGATTTACAGGAAAAAACACATGAAAAAGCTGCATTCTCGGGAGAGAGTGTAGCCGCAGCGTGTGCACGCGCCGCCATTTCAGGATGATCCTGTGTTAGAAGACTGATAATATGGTCTGACTTGTGTTACGTCGGGATGAGGGCTGGCTGCGGGTCACCGGTCACCCAGAGATCCCCTCTCGGACCTAGGACCCGCCTCCAGCCCACGTCGCTTCCCCCGGCTCGAATCTCCTTCAGAAGTGGCAACTCATTAACAATAAATCAAGGAAACATGAATTCAGTTTTATCAATTATATTAAATCAATGGAGGAAAAGGTTACAGTTCACAGTGCTGGTCTCTCCAGTCTGTGATGCGTTCACAAACCCGGAAGAGCCCCGATGTCCCGTGTCATTACTCATTTATAGGGTCCTAGACTCCTCTTTCGCAGAAAGGGATTTCAACTTGTCAGTGTATGAGGGGGCGTGATTAAGTGTGATCTCAGTGGATCTCATGTGGTTCTGATGTGTTAGGAAATATGAGACGGTGCTTCAAAAAGCCTTTCTACGGATGTAGCAAGCATTTTAAACTATGTTCCTTGATGGATATTGAATCCCAGGGAGACTATTTTTAGAGTTGCTGGCCCAGTTTAACCCAGTCAGAACCGGGTCATAATTTCATTATAATCCCGTCTCTGAGCAGATCAAAACCATAGGACCAGTGTAGATAAAAATATCAAACACTTGATTTAAAGCACAAACCGTTTTTGCTTGAGGATGTGGGCGTGGCAGTGTGGCGAATTAAGAAGTGACGTTGCAATACGTTTGACTCTAAATTGCACAGATTTCAGCCAAGGTGCACCAAAATCAGTATGATCGATCGTTATCCGCCCCTTGAACAGATGTCTATGATAAGTGGCCAATAGCCTCCACAGCGCCACCTACATTATTCCTACAGTTATAGCTCAGTGATACAACATCCGATCTGCCCCAGATTTATTGTGCGTCATCAGTGAGGACTTTTAGACACATTGATATTGTGGTTTAACAAATGACTCTAGTGTGCCCCCTAGATTATTCCAACAGTTATATCTCAATGATACATCATTCTATACGGAACAGATTTTTGGTGCATCATCTGTGAGCATTTCTAGATACATTGGTATTGTTGTTTAACAATTGACTCAAGTTTGCCCCCTAGATTATTCAAACTGTTATATCTCAGTGATATATCATCTGATCTAAGCCAGATTTTGGGTACGTCATTAGTGAGCCCTTCTACACACACAGGTATTGTTGTTTAACTTTTCACTCCAGTGCACCCCCTAGATTATTCCAACAGTTATATCTCAGTGAAATATCATCCAATGTGTACCAGATTTTATGTGCGTGATCAGTGAGCACTTGTAGACACATTGGTATTGTTGATTCTTGACATCACTTAAGCCCACCTACTCAGAGAAAAAAATGTTGATTATTGGATGACATTTCCAGCTTCGCACTGTGTAAGATATTAGACTGAAACTTTGTTCGCTAACTGTTGATTACCACACATGACATGTTGAAAAGCATAAAGGAAGTGCTTGTCAAACATTCGCCACAAAACTGGAAGTCACCATAACTCCTGTCTGGAAGGTCAAATTTTGCCTATACTTGTAAGACTTGCAGCTGGACATGTAACAAAATGGACGGAAGGCGATGTCGAAGATTCTGGAAATGCGCCTCGTGGTGAACGTGTGCAAGATTGGCATGAGAGAGTTTGCGATGGTGACTGGGTGGACTAGCTGGAGCTCCCGCGGTCACCATAAGGCCGGAGCGGCACTTTGCTGTGAGGGCCTCCAATGCTGCTTACATCTTTAATTCATCTTGTTGTCCAATGAGTGGACGTTCGACAGAAAGAGAGAGGGTATTGAGAGTTTGCTAACTTTAGCGTTAGCACGTAGCCTCACCAGAATTCCAGACCGACAACCTTAATTCTTAAGCTGGGAGCAGTGCTTCCTCCTCTGCCCATTGATGTGCCTCTGCTGCAGCTTTCAGGTAGATGAATCAGAATCAAAATAAACTTTATTATAATTGCACCAAAATACAATGAGAATATGTCCGTACAGTCGTCCAAAAGATGGGCGGAGTGCACGTAGCTGCTGCTATACAGAGCGGCCTTCTTATCCTTTTCAGAATACATTTTTTAGATAGACAAAATGGACAAAGCCACGAGGAGATGATAGTGGCATTACAAAAAAAGGTCTCTTCACACCTTGTCCTAACAGTACATGATTTAAGACGTGAAAAAACTCTGCCAGCAAGCACATTTATGAACACATTACATATGCATTTGACGAAGAGATGGTCCGTGAAGCACTAACATATAGTCCATTGTCCTGATAAGATGATGGTCAGCCGGCACAGTTCTGATAAGCCTCCACAGAATTGGGGGTGGGGTGGGGTGTTTACACATTTCCCAGAATTAATTGATGTCGGCCTGTTTCGAGGCCAACCGGGGAGTCAGATTCAGATAATCCACAATTGTTGATTTATTCAGGCCGAATAGTTTTCCTTGTCAGCCTTGAGTCTTTACTGGTACTTCCAAGGTCCGAAATGGCCAGATTAGGGATGCATTCTACTGGTTCATGCTTACGAGCCTCTTCAAGGTTGTTTTCATACTGACGAGTCCCAAAGCCACAGGTGGCCTGCGATTCAAATAATTTCCATCTTACGGTTTAGCTCGTAAATCAGCTGATTTTGAGTCCTCAAAGCACGAACCAAACCTTCACATAGGCAGCAGCCTGACGAGGTCCAAATTAGCTGTGGCCGTCTTCTTTGTATGTTGATGAACCCGGATCCAGACTATTCCAAAAACAGGTAACCTGTTATCATAAATCCAATTATATGCATTTCAGCATCCTCGATCGACAGCAGAGGTAGACGCATCACATTCCACTTCCCCAGAGATATATCCAGCTGCACGTGTCATTCGAGCAGATGAGGGTTCTCCAGGACCCTGTCGCTTTGTTGAGAAGATTTTGTCATTTGCGTTGAAAGTCCAGTTGGTCAGATTCGTAACAGTAGTTTTCATTTTGGAAGATGCGTAAAAATAGGAGCTACTCCGATACACAGGCAGAGAGCAAAAAAGCAGGAGGAGAACAGGGAGAGCGAAGAGAAAGTGTGCGTCTCGTTACAGTTCCAGTGAGGAAAAATAAAATAAGATGACTTTAAGATCTGCATTCTGCCGAGCATAGACTTGAGTTCGCTGTTGACCTTTGCTATATTTCATGGCAAATCCACTCTTATTCTCATCAATTCGTTTAGACTATAATTCACACGCATAAACTGTGCAGTCAGGCACGGAGTTGATTTCAAAACTCCTAAAAACTGGGATCGCACCGGGAGCCTGTGAAGCTGCAGCTACAGAGAGAGCAACCATCTTGAGAATGTGGCTCAAGAATGTGGCTCTGAGGCTCAATGTGATTTAATCTGTATAAAGTCCAACAATTTTCATTTAGGTCATCTAGACAGTTTCTTTTTTTGTTTTTTGTATAAATAAAGGTTGAATGAATGGTCACAGCTGAGACAGAATTGATGACACATTGTCCTAGAATATCTTCTAACAACATTTGTCTGGCTGATGGGGCATGCTCTGGTCTCAGCTGACATCTGCTCTGATAAACTGGTTTTACTTTTGTGATCAGTTTCAAATCATTATTACAGTCTCAGATTGATGAACGTCTGGAGACTTTGAGGGATTCATCCAAAACACGATGAACATCTTTCTCTTCATACCAGTTGAACATGAAACATTGATTTTGAATGTTTGAGGTGGTTGTAGTTCTCATCTTTCTGAAAAGTTTGGAGTTCAAATGTGCTTTATTTTTGTAGCTTTCTAGTTTTAGCATTACTTCCATTAAATTATTTCAGGTGCTTGCTTTTTTCCACTTTGCTTAGAATAGTGAAGCATTGAAACTATGCAGTGGTGTAAATAATCCCAAATAAAACATTCAAATGAACTATTTTAGTTTTAACCAGATACGTAATTTTATTAACTGCAGATTTTTAAAATATCTATAATAATGTTAGTTATGTATGGAAATGCAAAAGAAAAGTAACCAACAATCCTCTTTCATATGAAAGAGTTTAAATCCTGACTGACAGTCAACAGAAACACTTCCCTAGTGTTTATTGGAGCCCTCCTGCCCCCTACATCTTTAGACCAGATCACCTGCTCTCAGGTTCAGTCCAGTCTGATTGCACATGTTAACCCAGCATTGTTTTTTTGGCAGCTGAAAAAGGGGCCACCAGTTCCTCCTCCACCCAAAGTCACACCCACCAACGAAGTGGCTGAGGAGCAGATTGTTGACCTGTTTGGTGGAGAATTTCTACCTGGTCCGTCACCGTCACTGGTATGGAAAAAAACGAACACCACTTATATACATTGTAAAGTCAACAATTCAGCAGTTTTCATTTTGTCCACAGCCCAATGAACGACCAGGAGAATCTCTCCTTGATCTTGACTTTGATGCTTTCCAGCCAGATGAAAATGTTTCACCGATACCTCAGGTACTCCTCACCAACAGACACGACAACCACCAAATTCTTGTTGATTCACTCTTAGTTTAAAAGGTAATTTAGGTGATATGAACAATGTGCATAACGACCAGCTTCTCCTGGGTAATGGGTAACCAGGGATAAAAGCTTCATCTATCGCACCTCCCGAGAACTTTCTGTGCAAGCTTATCAGAACTGCTGGCTGAAACAACATCATCCGATCTGAAAAATGTTCATGGACAAATCTCAACACCTTGACATCAAATGCATATGTAAGCATCTAAAAAAGTTAAACCTGGTCCTCTGGCCATTAAAAAAACAAAATAATTTTTTTTTAGAAACGTTTCGTCTTTCATCCGAATGACTTCTTCAGTCTGAGGTGCTGTATTCAGCTCAGTCTTATAAATAACACCTTCTCATAGTGGATCAACCAGTTTGCTGCTGACAACCAAAACCAGCTGCTCACATAATCAATCTGGCATCTGTACTCATCCCTTTAGTTGGCAGCTCAGAACACCACATACAGAACACCATGGACTTTGTGGATAAGGTGAGGGATGTCATCATGGAGACTGATGAAACAATGGTCTCTTTTGATGTCACATCACTCTTTACGTGCATTCCTGTTGATGATGCAGTAGAGGTGGTCAGTTTAAAATTAAAATCAGACACCACTCTGAGCAGCAGGACCACGCTTTCTACAGAACAACTCTGTCAACTCTTGAAACTGTGCCTGCAGTCAACCTACTTCACATATGGGGAGCAATAATATAGGCAGAAACATGGGTGTGCTATGGGGTCTCCAGTTTCTCCTATTGTTGCCAACCTGTTCATGAGCCTTGACGTCCTTTTCAGGGACACCACCAAGTCATTGGTTCAGGTATGTTGATGACACCTGGGTTAAAATTAAATCTCAGGAAGTCCAACATTTTACTGACCACATCAACTCTGTGGATAAATACATCAAGTTCACACGAGAAGATGTAAAAAATGGCAGGTTGGCTTTCTTGGACTGTGAGGTCTCAGTCTCTGATAAAGGACATTTGCAAACCGAGGTGTACTGCAAACCCACCCACACAGACCAGTATTTGCAGTTTGACTCCCATCACCCTTTGGAGCACAAGTTAGGAGTCATCAGGACTCTGTACCACAGAGCAGACAGCATCCCCACTAGCTCAGGAGCCAGGCAGAAGGAGAAATCCTACACAAGACAGGCTCTAGAGCAATGTGGATATCCTAACTGGGCCTTCCTGAAAGAAGAAACCCAAACAGGACTCCAGTCAGCCAACAGGTGAAAAGGAGGAACCCAGACCCAGACCAGTGGTCATTCCATATGTTGAGGGAGTATCAGAGAAACTGAGACGTTTATTTTCTAAACATAACGTCCCAGTGGCTTTTAAACCCCAAAATACATTACGGCAAAGAATGGTTCATCCCAAAGATCCAGTCCCCCAGCACAAACAGAGTAATATTGTGTATGCTGTTCAGTGTCAGGAGGGTGATCAGTCTCGCATCGGGGAAACTAAACAGCCACTGGCCAAAAGGATGGACCAGCTCAGAAGATCAACATCATCAGACCAGGACTCTGCGGTCTACACTCATCTCCAGGCCAGCGGTCACTCTTTCAGGGATGAAGATGTTCACATCCTGGACAGAGAGGAACAATGATTTGAGAGAGGAGTAAAGGAGGCCATCTTTGTGAAAAGAAACCGTCCATCATTAAACAGGGGTGGAGCCTCCGGGTTCAACTGTCCCCCTCTTACAATGCTGTGATTGCTAGTATCACTCAGCCCTCTGTGAACAGTAAACAGCCATCAGGTGCTAATGACCCATTGTTAGGCTGATGGTCCTTCTTGAGCATGTGATCAGCTGGTTCTGGTTGTCAGCAACAAACTGGTTGATCCACTCTGAGAAGGTGCTATTTAAGAGACTGAGCTGAATACAGCACCTCAGACTGAGGAAGTCTTTCGGATGAGAGACGAAACGTTTCTACTTTTTTTTTTTTTTTTGAATGTCCAGAGGACCAAATTGAACTTTTTTGGATTTTTCTACCTGGATTTTTGAGCATGCATCAGGTTAAATTTATATGCATCTTTTATGATTGCCTTATGTTGTCATTGTTGTCCACTGTTGTCATCACTCTTTGTTAAAACCAGGTCTCTCTTGTAAATGAGTCCTCGTGGCTCAATGGGAAAGATAACCTGTTTAAATAAAGGTTGAATGAATGAATAAGATGACTATATCGATATAAATGATAGTGTTATATTTGAAAATCTGCCTGCTGTCTTCTCTTTCTCCCAGCGGCCATTCCTCTCCCTCACTGAAGCCCAGCCCCTCACTCGCTCCCCCCGTTTCCTGCTTCTCCAGGTGGAGCGACACGTAGCATTCACAGAGCAGCTGGTGAACAGGAAAAAAATAATGGCGATAGTTTAGATTTAATTTGTCAGATGTGCAGCAGAAAAATGTTTTCTGTAGACAATGCCGAAAACAAGTCTCGACAAAAGCTTCGAGCACAACAAACCTTTTTCACCATTTAAACAGTGCCATAAAGTGGAGTATGAAAAGTGTCAAACGTTGTGCTCCAGCTCCGGCTGTGAAGACTTCCCAGCTTCCTGCCCTGAAACAAACTACCAGTACGGTACAAAACTCATTTAGCTGTGCTGTGCCTTATGAGAGGAACAGAGAGGTAGCGCAACATTAATAAAGCAGCAGTTTTATTGCTAAAGACACGGTCCATATCGGTTAACAAGACGGCTAAAGTTAGCTGTCTTGTTAACCGCTAAGGACTGTATCTTTAGTGATATGATTTTCTTTTCGTTTAACCTTTATTTCTTCAGGTTAATCCTATTGACCCTCTGGGACTCATTTACAAGAGACACCTGGTTTTAACAAAGAGAGATGACAACAGTGAACAACAAAGACAGCAATAGACAATCAAAGGATGGGTACAAATTGAGAATAACAAGTGAAAATAAAATGGTATCCATCCATCCATCCATCCATTATATTTACCCGCTTCTTCCTTTTTTGATCACGGGGGTCGCTGGTGCCCATGTCCAGCTGTCACTGTGTGAGAGGCGGGGTACACCCTGGACTGGTCTCAAGTCCATCACAGGGACACATAGAGACAAACGAGACAAGCCATTCTCTCACCTAAGGACAATTTAGAGTTACCAATCAGCCTATCATGCATGTTTTTGCTCTGTGGGAGGAAACTGGAATACCCAGAGAAAACCCACGCATGCACGGAGAGAACATGCAAACTCAACCCAGAAAGGCCTCTGGACCATGATTTGAACCAGGATAACCTGCTCTCTGAGAGGCAGCAGCTCTACCAGTTGTGCCATTATGCTGCAAAATAAAATGGTATTAAATAAAAATGTAACAAAATAAAAAACCAAACAGCTAGGCGATGTAGAAAACTAAAAAACAAGAGCATGTCTGTATTGGTTTTTCCCAGGAACTTAACAATGTTTAAAGCTACTTAGAAAGGTAAAGGTCAAGCCACTGCTTTATTAATGTGGCACTACCTCTCACTGTAAGACTTGAAAATCTGTACAGTAGATTTTCTTTTCTGTCCGTCTAACTTCACGCAGCCTCCTCCTCCCTCCCTGAATACAAGCAGCCCCTCACTGCTGCTTCACATGCTTACTAACGTCGTGAAGTTGGCGCAGCTGAAGAGGATTATTATTTAATATATGTAAATAAATGTCTAAAAAACAAACTTTAAGATAACTTTAAGACAGTATCATACTTTTATTATTTCATTTTATGCTTATGTTTATTAAATGTTTAATTGTTAAATGGTTATTGTTGCACCGGCGTCTGAGAGTAATGTAATTTCAATCCTGTGTATGTTCTGAACATATTGCAGTTTTTGACAATAAAGTGACTTAGACTTTGACTTAGATATGTAAATAGTTTATTTTTTATACATTTATTTTGTAGAGTTACAGCTATTTGCTAATAAATGTGCCTGTGTGGCAACTTGGACAAAGTTTTGAATCAGAAATATATTTTTTATTACATTATGGAAAGAAAAAATATTGATATATATATTGTATATCACGATTTATCTTAAAACATCAAGATATAAATTTTGGTCCATATCGCCCAGCTCTTCCTGTGAATCTGCCACCAGCAGGAAGGGCCATAAAAGTCGGGTGCATGATGCCATGGGCAGTGGCCGAAGGCGGGGACCTTGGCACTCTGACCCTGGCTTACCAAGGCTGGCTCTTGGGACATGGAACGTGACCTCTCTGGTGGGGAAGGAGCCTGAGCTTGTGCGTGAGGTTGAGAGGTACAGACTAGATATAGTTGGGCTCATCTCGACGCACAGCATGGGCTCTGGAACCGTTCTCCTTGAGAGGGGCTGGACCTTATTCCACTCTGGAGTTGCCCATGGTGAGAGGCGTCGAGCTGGTGTGGATCTACTTGTAGCCCTCCGACTTGGTGCCTGTGTGTTCGAGTTTTCCCCAGTAGATGAGAGGGTGGCTTCCCTTCGCCTTCAGGTTGGGGGATGGGCTCTGACTGTTGTTTGTGCCTATGCACCGAACGGCAGTTTAGAGTATCCGGCCTTCTTGGAGTCCTTGGCAGGGGTGCTGGAAGGTACGCCAGCTGGGGACTCCTTTATTCTGCTGGGGGACTTCAATGCCCATGTGGGTAATGACAATGTGATCTGGAGGGGCGCGATTGAGAGGAACGGCCTCTCTGATCTGAACCCGAGCGGTGTTCTGTTGTTGGACTTCTGTGCTCGTCATAGTTTATCCATCACAAACACCATGTTCGAACATAAGGGTGTCCATAAGTGCACTTGGCACCAGGACGCCCTAGGTCGTAGATGAATGATAGACTTCATAGTCGTGTCATCTGATTTGCGGTTGTTTGTTTTGGACACTCGGGTGAAGAGAGGTGCTGTCAACTGATCACCACCTGGTAGTGAGTTGGATCAGATGGCGAAGAAAGATGCCGGATAGACCCGGTAGACCCAAACGTGTAGTGAGGGTTTGCTGGGAACGCCTGGCAGAAGAACCCGTCAAAAAGATCTTCAACTCGCACCTCCAGGAGAGCTTTAACTGCATCCCAGCTGAGGTGGGGGACATTGAGTCTGAGTGGGCCATGTTCCCCACCTTACTTGTTGAGGTGGCTGCCTTGAGCTGTGGCCGCAAGGTTGTCGGTGCTTCTCCTGGTGGCCATCCACCAACTCTATGGTGGACACCTCGGGTTAGGAAGGAGTCCTATTGGGCCTTGTTGGCCAGTGGGACTCCGGAGGCAGCTGAGGAGTACCGGAGGACCAAGCGGTCCGCAGCCTTGGCTGTTTCTGAGGCAAAAGCCCAGATGTGGGAGGAGTTCGGTGAGACCTTGGATAACGACTCTTGGTCGGCTCCGAGGAGATTCTGAGAAACTATCAGACAGCTGAGGAGGGGAAAGCAGCACTATACTAACACTGTATTCAATAAAGGTGGGCTGCTGTTTACCTCAACCAGTGATGTCATTGGGAGGTGGAAGGAATACTTCTTGGACCTTCTCAATCCCACCACTTTGGAGGGACTTTGGGGTTGATCCATCCATAACTGTGGCTGAAGTCGCCGAGGTAGTTAAAAAGCTCAGAGGCGGCAGGGCTTCGGGAGTGGATGAGATTCACCCTGATTTCCTTAAGGCTCTGGATGTTATGGGGCTGTCTTGGTTGACATGCCTTTGTAACGTCACGTGGACATCGGGGTCAGTGCCGTTGGATTGGCAGACTGGATTAGTGGTTCCCCTCGGTGTGCTCCAATTATAGGGGCATCACTCTCAGCCTCCCTGGTAAGGTCTATTCAGGGGGTACTGGAGAAGCAAGTCCAATCGTTGGTCGAACCTCAGATCCAGGAGGAACAGTGCGGGTCCCTTCCTGGCTGTGGAACACTGGATCAGCTCTTTACCCTCACTAGGGTCCTCAAGGGGTCATGGGAGTTTGTCCATCCAGTCTACATGTGTTTTGTGGGTTTGGGGAAGGCATTTGACCATGTTCCTCAGGGTACATTGTGGGGGGTGCTCCGTGAGTATGGGATTGGGGCCTGTTGCTACGGGCTGTTCAGTACCTAGACAAGCAGTGCAAGAGCTTGGTTCGCATTGCCGGCAGTAAGTCGGACCCCTTCAGAGTGGGAGTTGGACTCCACCAGGGCTGCCCGTTGTCACAGATTCCATTTATAACTTTAATGGACAGAATTTCTATGTGCAGCCAGTGGGCAGAGAGTTTTCTATTTGGTGGTCTCAGGATTCCATCTCTGCTTTTTGCAGATGATGTGGTCCTGTTGGCGTCATCATGTCATGATCTTCAGCTCTCACTGGTGTGGTTCACAGCCAAGTGTGAAGCAGCTGGGATGAGAATCTGCCCCTCCAAATCTGAGGCCATGGTCCTCAACCGGAAAAGGGTGGATTGTTCTCTCTAGATCGAGAATGAGGTTCTGCCTCAAGTGGAGGAGTTCAAGTATCTCGGGGTGTTGTTCTCGAGTGAGGGAAGAATGGAGCGTGAGATTGACAGATGGATTGGTACAGCATCTGCAGTATTGCGGACTCTGTACCTGTCCATTGTAGTGAAGCGAGAGCTGAGCTGTAAGGCAAAACTCTCTGTTTATGGGTCTGTCTTCGTTCCTACCCTCCTCTATGGTCACGAGCTCTGGGTAGTGACAGAAAGAATTAGATTGTGAATACAGGTGGTTGAAATGAGTTTCCTCCACAGGGTAGCTGGACTCTCCCTTAGAGATAGGGTAAGAAGTTTGGTCATTCGGGAAAGACTCGGATTAGAACCGTTGCTCCTCCACATAGAGAGAAGCCAGTAGAGGTGGTTCGGGCATCTGCTAAGGATGCCCCCTGGACACCTCCTTAGGGAGATGCTTTGGGCTTGTCTGATTGGTAGGAGACCCCGGGGAAGACCCAGGACCCGCTGGAGAAACCGTTTCTCGGTTGGCCTGGGAACGCCTTGGAATTCTCCCAAAAGAGCTGGAAGAGGTGGCTATGGAAAGAGATGTCTGGTGTTCTCTGCTCAAGGTGCTGCCCTTGCGGCCTGACTTCTGAACAAGCAGAATATAATGGATGGATGGATGGATCGCCCAGCCATACTGATCGTGTCGTCGCCATCTTGAATTTCCCCTTCTCTTTCATTCTTTTCATTCATTAGCTCCTCAAAGTACTCCTTCCATTTTCCCGTCACACTCTCCTCACTTGTTAGAACATTACCATTCCTATCTTTAACAAGCAAAACTTTCTGCACCTCCTGTCCAGCCTGATCCCTCTGTCTTGCCAATCTATACAAGTCCTTCTCGCCCTCTTTAGTGTCCAGTCTCCCGTACAACTCATCATACACCTTGTGCTTTGCTTTAGCTACCTCCCTCTTTGCTCTACGTCCCATCTCCTTATATTCCTGTCTTCTCTCTTCAGTCCTCTCACTGTCATATTTCTTCTTGGCTAACCTCTTTCTTTGAACAGCATCCTGCACTTCACTATTCCAACACCAGGTTTCCTTATCATTTTAATTTTTTTTTCATTTACCCTTTATTTATACAGGTAGTCTCATTGAGCCATGAGAACTCATTTTCAAGAGATACCCGTTTAGGGAGCAGATGGTGGGGGTTAAGGGCCTTGCTCAGGGGCCCAGAGTGGGGCAAATGAGGGTGGAGGCAGGTGTGGGTGTTCCACCTTTTCCACCCACATTTTGATGTTGATGATACCGGGAGTTGAACCTGCGACTTTCCGATCACAGGCTCATCTTCTAACCTCTGCGCCACCACTCCCCCATCATCCATTCTCTGTCCAGATGACACACCAAGTACCTTCCTACCTCTCTCTCTAATTACTGTTGCTGTAGTAGTCCAGTCATTAGGAAGCTCTTTCTTACCACCCAGAGCCTTTAACAGCTCCTCTCTGAATTTCTCACAACATTCTTCCTTCTTCATCTTCCACCATTTGGTCTTCTTCTCTGATTTTACTCTTTTTCTCTTCTTCACAACAACAGTCATTCTACACACAACCATCCGATGCTGTCTGGCCTTGCTCTACCCTGCCACAATCTTACAGTCTCCAATCTCCCTCAGGTTTCATCTTCTACACAGAATGTAGTCGACCTGTGTACTACTTCCTCCACTTTTATAGGCCACTCTATGTTCCTCCCTCTTTTGGAAATAAGTGTTGACTACAGCCATTTCCATTCTCTTGGCAAAATCCACCACAATCTGTCCTTCCTGGTTTCTTTCCTTGACACCAAACCTACCCATAACCTCCTCATCCCCTCTGTTACCTTCACCAATATGTCCATCCAGGTCTGCTCCGATCACCACTCTTTCCTCCATGGGAATACTCTCTATCAATTCATTCAGAACTTTCAAAAATGTATCTTTCTCCTCCACATCACATACAACTTGTGGAGCATAACCACTGACAACATTTAGCATCAGAACTTCTACTTCTACCTTCAGACACATCACCCGATCTGACACTCTCTTCACCTCTACCACATTCTTTGCCAACTCCCCCTTCAGGACCACCCCTACTCCATTTCTTTTTCTGTTCACATGTGTCCACACATATCCAAATTGTGTTCACATTATTTTTTTACAATCTCCTACTTTGTCCTGTATTTGTTTGAAATGTGTTTTATGGCCAGTATTTTTCTCATTGATATGTTTTTGTGTCTTTTAGACTGCTGTACCTTGGGATATGTGGTCGGTGAGTAACATCTCGGAGTTGAAATCAAGGGTTAGCCCTATATAACCTCAGTGATAAACGGTCAATATTTTTATTTTAAGTTAACAGAAGTTCTTATTGTTTGTGTATTTGAATATAATTATTTAAATGTGAAAGGTCTAAAGAGTTATGGAATGCTAATATTAATCATATTATCTTTTGTTATCAGGGGAATGCTGAAGCCTCTCAGCTTGTAAGTACAGAAAAAATGTGCACAAAGCTGAAACATTCAGTTATTTGAATTTTTATGTCTTTGTATGGGACTCCTATTTATATATATGTGTGTGTCATATCTTGTGTCTTGGACACTCGGGTGAAGAGAGGAGTGGAGCTGTCCACTGACCACTACCTGGTGGTGAGTCGACTCCGATGGTGGGGGAGGATGCCGGTCAGACCTGGCAGACCCAAACGTATTGTGAGGGTCTGCTGGGAACGTCTGGCAGATTCTCCCGTGAGACGGCGCTTAAACTCCCACCTCAGAGAGAGCTTCGAACACATTCTGGGGGAGGTGGGGGACATGGAGTCAGAGTGGGCCATGTTCCGTGCCTCAATTGTCGAGGCGGCTTATCGGAGCTGTGGCTGCAAGGTTGTCGGTACCTGTAGCGGCGGTAACTCTCGAACCTGGTGGTGGACACCTGTGGTGAGGGATGCTGTCAGGCTGAAGGAGGAGTCTTATCGGGCCTTTTTGGCCTGTGGAACCCCGGAAGCAGCTGATGGGTACCGGCAGTCCAAGCGGCATGCTGCTCGGGTGGTCGCTGAGGCAAAAACTCGGGCGTGGGAGGAGTTCAGAGAGGCCATGGAGGATGACTTCTGCACGGCTTCAAGGCAATTCTGGTCCACCATCCGGTATCTCGGCGGGGGAGCGATACGCCACCAATACTATTTATAGTGGAGGTGGTGTGCTGCTGACCTCAACTTGGGATATCGTGGGTCAGTGGGCAGAATACTTCGAAGACCTCCTCAATCCCACTGGCACATCTTCCACTGAGGAAGCAGAGCCTGGGGACCTTGGGTCAGGCTGTCCAATCTCTGGTGCTGAGGTCACCAAGGTGGCTAAAAAGCTCCTCGGTGGTGTTAAAGACGGGAGCTGGCTGCTGGCCACCGGATCCGGAAACCCCCTCCAGTCCACGTCTTTACCCCCGGCTCGAACCTCCCTCAGAAGTGGCAACTTATACTAATCAATAAATCAAGGAAACGTCAATTAAGTTTTATCAATTATATTAGAAAAGGCAGGAAAAGATTACAATTTACAGCGCTGGACTCTCCAGTCTGTGACGCGTTCACAGACCCAGAAGAAGAGCCCCGATGTCCCGTGTCATTACTCATTTATAGGGTCCTAAGACTCCGCCTTCGCAGAAGGGGAGCTCAACCTGTCAGTGTATGAGGGGGCATGACTAAGTGTGATCTCAGTGGATCTTATGTGGACTGACGTGTTTGGAAATATGAGACGGTGCTTCAAAAGCTTTTCTACGTGATGTGGCAAGCAGATTAAACTATTTCTTGACTGATATTGAAATCCCAGGGAGACTCTCTTTAGAGTTGCTGGCCCAGTTTAACCCAGTCAGAACCGGGTCATAATTTCATTATAATCCCGTCTCTGAGCAGATCAAAACCATAGGCCCAGTCCAAAATTATCGTAACAATGGTAGGGCCCCAGGGGTGGATGAGATCCGCCCGGAGTTCCTTAAGCACTGGATGTTGTGGGGTTGTGTTGGCTTACACGACTCTGCAATATTGCGTGGACATTGGGGGAAGTTCCCCTGGATTGGTAGACTGGGGTGGTGGTCCCCCTATTAAATAAGGGGGAACGTAGAGTGTGTTCCAACTACGGGGGATCACACTCTTAAGCCTCCCTGGTAAGGTCTATTTGGGGATTCTGGAGAGGAGTGTCCGTCAGATAGTCGAACCTCGGATTCAGAAAGAGCAGTGCGGTTTTCGTCCTGGTCATGGGACACTAGACCAGCTCTATCAGGGTCCTGGAGGGTGCGTGGGAGTTTGCCCAACCAGTCTGCATGTACTTTGTGGACTTAAAGAAGGCGTTCAACCGCGCCCCTCGGGGAGCCCTGTGGGGGTGCTCCGGGAGTATGGCGTACCAGGCCCTTTGATATGGGCTGTTAGGACCCTGTATGACCGGTGTCAGAGCTTGGTCCACATTGCCGGCAGTAAGTTGGGCTCGTTCCCAGTAAGAGTTGGACTCTGCCAAGGTTACCCTTTGTCACAGATTCTGTTCATAACTTTTATGGACATAATTTCTAAGTGCAGCCAAGGTGTTGAGGACATCCATTTTGGTGGCCTTAGGATAGCTTCTCTGTTTTTTGCAGATGATGTGGTCCTATTGGCTTCATCAGGTCATGATCTACAGCTTTCGCTGGAGCAGGTTGCAGCCGAGTGTAACGCGGCTGGGATGAGGATAAATTCCTCCAAATCCGAGGCCATGGCCATGGTCTTGAGCCAGAAAAGAGTAGAGTACCCTCTCTGGGTTGGGGGAGGAGGTCCTGGCCCAAGTGGCGGAGTTTAAGTATCTCGGGGTCTTGTTCACAAATTAGGGAAAAATGGAGCGTGAGATCGATAAGCGGATAGGTGCAGCATTGGCAATGAAGCGGGCGCTGTACCGGTCTGTCGTGGTGAAGAGAGAGCTGAGACAAAAGGTGAAGCTCTCAATTTACCGGTCGATCTACGTTCCTACCCTCATCTGTGGTCATGAGCTTTGGGTTGTGACCGAAAGAATGAGATCTCGGAAACAAGCGGCCGAAATGAGTTTTCTCCGCAGGGTGTCTGGGCTCTCTCTTAGAGATAGGGTGAGAAGCTCGGTTATTCAGGAGGGACTCAGAGTAGAGCCGCTGCTTCTCCACATTGAGAGAAGCCAGTTGATGTGGCTTGGGCATCTAGTTAAGATGTCTCCTGGACGCCTCACTGGGGAGGTGTTCCGGGCACGTCCCACCGGGAAGAGACCCAGAGGAAGACCAAGGACACACTGGAGGGACTATGTTTCTCGGCTGGCCTGGGAATGCCTTGGGATTCCCCTGGAGGAGCTGGCCCAAGTGGCTGGGGAGAGGGAAGTCTGGGCCTCCCTACTTAGGCTCCTACCCCCACGACCCGGCCCCGGATAAGCGCAAGAGAATGGATGGATGGATACATAGTGCCTTGCGAAAGTATTTGGCCCCCTTGAACTTTTCAACCTTTTGCCACATTTCAGGCTTCAAACATAAAGATATAAAATTAAATTTTTTTGTGAAGATTCAACAACAAGTGGGACACAATCGTGAAGTGGAATGAAATTTATTGGATGTGTCAAACTTTTTTAACAAATAAAAAACTGAAAAGTGGGGCATGCAATATTATTCGCCCCCCTTGCATTAATACTTTGTAGCGCCGCCTTTTGCTGCAGTTCCAGCTGCAAGTCTCTCGGGGTATGTCTCTATCAGTTTTGCACATGGAGACACTGAAATTCTTGCCCATTCTTTTTTGCAAAACAGCTCGAGCTCAGTGAGGTTGGATGGAGAGCGTTTGTGAACAGCAGTCTTCAGCTCTTTCCACAGATTCTCGATTGGATTCAGGTCTGGACTTTGACTTGGCCCTTCCAACACCTGGATATGTTTATTTGTGAACCATTCCATTGTAGATGTGTCTTTATGTTTTGGATCATTGTCTTGTTGGAAGATAAATCTCCATCCCAGTCTCAGATCTCTTGCAGACTTAAACAGGTTTTCTTCCAGAATGGTCCAGTATTTGGCCCCATCCATCTTCCCATCAATTCTGACCATCTTCCCTGTCTCTGCTGACGAAAAGCAGGCCCAAACCATGATGCTGCCACCACCATGTTTGACAGTGGGGATGGTGTGTTCAGGGTGATTAGCTGTGTTGCTTTTACGCCAAACATATCGTTTTGCATTGTGGTCAAACAGTTTGATTTTGGTTTCATGTGACCAGAGCACCTTCTTCCACATGTTTGGTGTGTCTCCCAGGTGCTTGTGGCAAACTTTAAACAACACTTTTTATGGATATCTTTGAGAAATGGCTTTCTTCTTGCCACTCTTCCATAAAGGCCAGATTTGTGCAGTGTACGACTGATTGTTGTCCTATGGACAGACTCTCCCACCTCAGCTGTAGATCTCTGCAGTTCATCCAGAGTGATCATGGGCCTCTAGGCTGCATCTCTGATCAGTCTTCTCCTTGTTCCAGATGAAAGTTTAGAGGGATGGCCGGTTTCTTGGTAGATTTGCAGTGGTCTGATACTCCTTCCATTTCAATATGATTGCTTGCACAGTGCTTTTTGGGATGTTTAAAGCTTGGGAAATCTTTTTGTATCCAAATCCGGCTTTAAACTTCTCCACAACAGTATCTCGGACCTGCCTGTTGTGTTCCCTGGTCTTCATGATGGTCTCTGCGCTTTGAACAGAACTCTAAGACTATCACAGAGCAGGTGCATTTATATGGAGACTTGACTACACACAGGTGGATGCTATTTATCATCATCAGTCATTTGGGACAACATAGGATCATTCATAGATCCTCACTGAACTTCTAGAGTGAGTTTGCTGCACTGAAAGTAAATGGGCCGAATAATATTGCATGCCCCACTTTTTAGTTTTTTTTTTGTTAAATAAGTTTGACACATCCAATAAATTTCATTCTACTTCACGATTGTGTCCCACTTGTTGATTCTTCACAAAAAAATTAAATTTTATATCTTTATGTTTGAAGCCTGAAATGTGGCAAAAAGTTGTAAAGTTCAAGGAGGCCGAATGCTTTCGCAAGGCACTGTGTGTGTATATATATATATATATATATATATATATATATACACAGACACTTTCCAAAAAATTAGAATATCATGGAAACGTTAACTTCCATAATTCCATTCAAAAAGTTAATCTTTAAAAGATAATAAATTCAGGGCCCACAATTTAAACGATTTCAAGTATTTGTTTATTTTTACATAATTTGGGCTTCCAGCTCATGAAACCCACGAAAACAGGATTTCAAAAAATTAGAATACCGTGAAGAAATAAGTTCACACTACTCAGTTTTTGCAGAAAAAAAATTAAGAAATTAGGATCACAACAAATCAATCAGAATATGGTACTTTCAAAACCATATGCCAATCTTCAATTCTTTGTTGGGAATCTATTTGCCTTAATCACTGCCTTGATGCGACGTGGCATTGAGACAATCAGCCTGTGGCATTGCCTG